TTCCCTCCTCCTTCCTCCCTCCTTCCTCCTTCCCTCCTCCCTCCTTCCCTCTTCCTTCCTCCCTCCTTCCTCCCTCTCTCCTTCCTCCTTCCCTCGTCCCTCCTTCCCTCCTCCTTCCTCCCTCTCTCCTTCCTCCTCCCCTCGTCCCTCCTTCCTCCCTCCTCCTCCCTCCCTCCTGCTGCCTGTCCCCAGCTCGTGCCCAGTGCGAGCCTGCTTGTACCATACAGGCTCTGGCATGTCCTGTGGGCAGGCTTGTCCCAGCCCCCTCAGGGAGGCCTTGTTCCTGGGCTCAGGTTCAGCATCTGCTTAAGGCTCCAGGAAGCTGTGGGCTGCTTTGCATCCGTGCTGGGTGTCCCTGCTCCCATCCACTCCACCCAGCTCCTGGAGGAATGACTTAGCCCAGGCTTGGCACTGAGTGGCTCTCATAGGCATGGTGTCCCAGGCGGGGTGCTGCTGGGCTGGGTGTTTGCTGGCTGGGGAGGGCCCTGGCCCGGAGGCCGGGAAAGCCTGGAGAGCCCTCATCCCCCCTGCCTGGTACAGGCTGTAACAGGCATGCCAGCTGGGCTTCTGGGCCATGGGCAGCCTCAGGGCTGACTCACCGGCCAGCACAGCAGGGAGGGGAGGGAGCCTGGCACGGGCCCTGCCACTCCTGGGGTGCGGGGGTGGAACCTTGGAGTGAGAGCAAAGGCTAGAAGCCTGGAGGACAAGGACAGAGGGAGCCTGGCCAAGGTTTCAGATTTTTGGAGACCCTGACTCCCCCTCCCCCCGCCCCCCATGAAAGGGGCACAGTCTCACCCGCCTGCTGGCCTCCCTCATCCTGGGGTGTCGGAGGAACTGTGTGAACATCCTCCCAAAGCAGCAGCTTTAGCAGAGGGGGATGGCCTCTCCAGGTGGTCGGCCTGTCCACCCTCATCTCTCACAGCCGTGGCTGGGCCGCCCATCTGCAGCCCTGCTGGCCACAGCACCTTCACCCAACAATGTCACCACCTCCTGGGCCAGCAGGCCGGTGTCCTGGGGAGCCAGCGCAGAGACCAGCCTGCCTGTGAGGTGGACAGCTCCCCACCACAGGCAGCCGGTGTGCAGAACAGCCTTGCACTGAGGCCAAGGCTCACCCATCAGCCCTTGGCAAACGCCTAGCCCTGACAGTCCAATCTCCCGTCGCACAGAGCCCCTCCAGCCACTGGCCTGCCTGGGGCTCGGGGTCCTGATCCAGGCCATGCCCGGCTGCCACCCGGCCCTCTTGACATCCAGCTCTGTGCCCACAGCCCGTCTTGGTCCAGGCCGGGAGGGGACAGGGCCTCAGCTCCAGGGGTCTGAGCTCAGGCATACCAGGACAGGAGGAGCTAGGTCCTTCTGGGCACAGCCTGTGGTGAGGAGGGTGGGTGCATTAAGAAGAGCTGGAGGAAGGGGCCCCTATTCAGGTGCCAGTGGGAGGGCCCTGGGGAAGAGGCAGGGTGGGGGCCTCCATGGCCTTGTGGCTCTGGAGCCACCTCCCTCTGTGGCTCTGCTCTGAGGGGCAGTCTGGGGGTGCTGGGCTTGCACTGCTGGGCCCTGCTCCTGCGGGTGGACACCCAGACTGGCTATGGGAGGAGGCTCGTGGGTGGTAATGGGGCGACCGGCTCCAAGGGGATTGGTGCTTGTAATTTCCTATGGCAAGCCCTCTGCTTCCTTCCTAGGGGTGGAGGGCTCACCTCTTCCCCCTGGCTAGGACCACCCACGCCCTCAGGGAGGGAGAGGGTTGCGAGGGCAAATGAGCAGGACAAAGGTGACCTCCCCCATCCCCAGCCTTCCCCCCACCCTTGCCCAGAGACATGATGTCCCTGGACACCACCCCTTGGCCTTGAGTGTGGGTCTGGGCTTTTCTGAGAGCTGGGGGGAGAAGAGTGGGGTCGGTGTGGGAGCGGGTGGGCTTGCGAGCCAGCTGGGACTGGACTTCCAGCTGCACGCTGGCCTTGCCCGGGGTGCCCGTGAGGTAGGCGTGCCCTAGGGAGCAGCGTCAGGAACTTGTGAGTGTGGCCAGGGCGTGGTCTCGGGGCAACAGGTCTCTGGAGCCCGTGGGCCTGCTCTGGGGTGGAGGGCGTGGCCTGCGGCGGGAGGGCGAGGCCAGGAAGGTGGGCGTGGCCGGGGCAGGAGGACACGGTCTCAGGGCCCCTCTCTCTCTCTCCCCAAGGGCTGCGCAGGGACCTCCCAGCGCCCTGCCTAGTGTGCGGCTCTCTGCCGCCCGCCGCGGTCCTGCAGGGCGCCTCCTTCGTGCCCCTGGGCGGCGGGCGGGGCGGCGGGGCGTGGACCCCGTGACGCCGAGGACCAGGACGCCGAGGACCAGGACGGGACAGACGTGCCCAGGCCCCGCGGCCCCTAGAACGTGGCTAGTTTCTTTGGAAACCTTCAGATAGATGAGAGACCTTGTATACAGAGCTATTTTAGCGAAATCGTGCAACCACAGCATGGTATTTCTTATGGAGCCCCCGCCCCAGCCCGGTGCCCGCGCCCCACATCCATCTATCCATGTACCGCAAAACTCACACCCCGTGCCCCTCCCCACCAGAGGAGGATGCCCCTCGTGGGCAGATGAGCATGAGAAACCTCCCGGCACCCTGGGCTCCTAGGGGCCACCTCCTCTGGAGCCCCGCCTTGCTGGCAGGCCCCCCTCCCAGTCTCCCAGCCAGAGGTCTCGGCAAGGCACTCACTTATTCACTCATTCCTTCAACAAAAGTCTCGTTGTGCTGGTCCAGGTTGTCTGCACCCAAGTGTCTCCTTCCAACCTGGTGCTGAGTGAAGGGTGCGGAGGGGGTGCCCGCCCTGGGTCAGACCCCTCAGATTCAACCACAGTTGGACTTCTGGGCCCTCTGGCCACCAGTGGGCCACTCGGGCTGCAGAGACCCAGGGAGGGGGAGCCCCTGCAGCCTCTTTGGGCTCAGGCAGGGGTGTCCCAGCCCCCCAAGCCTACACGGAACAGAGAGGCTTGTGAGGGGTTGCTGCAGCCAATTGGGAGGGGGGTCCCCAGCCCTCACCTCCTGGACAAGTCGGGGCCCCGGAGGTGGGAGGGACCCATCCCCACCCCCACTGTGGGCCTTTCTCCACCCCGATGGCATGCGGCTGGACGTGGCCACTCCTGGTCACCGGCAGCCCGAACGGACAGCACCTTCACAGAGGCAGGTGTCTCACGCAGCACGTGGGCCCGTCCCGGGGCGGCCACGGAGGGGGTCCTCAGGGCCTGGGCGGCCACATGGCCTCCTTGCTCCCGGGAGAGCCCCTGCCCGTGAGGTCACGTGGCACAGCGGTTCCCACGTATCTCGCGGCTGCCAGCAGCTGCTGTAGCACTGTCCGGGGCCTCAGAGCTGACGGAGCAAGGCCTGCATCCTCCCTGCCTGGCCCGGGCCGGTGCACTGGGAGCCCCTTGGGGCAGGACGGGTTCTTCTGACTCACCCCATCTGGCTGACCCAGGGGCCAGGGGTGCTGGAGGAGGGCTAGGCCAGGGACAGCGGGAAGATCCACCCTGGCTTTCCTGGGTGAGCCTGGACCTGCAAGCCTGTCCTCAGCACATCAGGCAGGCGTCAGGCGCGCTCACTCCTAGGCATCGTGGCCTCGTGAGCACTGGGGGTGGGGGCAAGAACTCCCTCCCCACTGGCTCCACCTCACCAGAGTGTGGGATGGGGTGCCCAGAGCTTAGCAGTGACCCCAGCAGTCCCAACCCACACATGCCGTATCGCAAGTGGTTGCAGGGTTGAGGCACTGGCCCAGGATGGAGGGAGGCTGGGGTATGGCCTCTGGTGCCCACGCCACAGTGGCAGGAGGGTGGGAACCATGGTTTGGGGTGACGTTTGTTGGCAGGCCCTATCCCGTGGGCCAGAGGCTCCTTCATGGTGCTTCCTGAGTTCGCTCCTGTCTCGGGCTTGAGTCCACTTCAAGGAGCACTCTGGCCCGAGGGGCCGTGCCTGCACTGAGAGCCGCCCCCGGGGCCCGCCTACGTGTTGTAGTGCCCAGGCTGGGGATGATGCCCCTCAGGATCGGCTCCCCTCCAAACTTGAGGTGCCCTGTTGGGGTTCCAGGCAGATCCTCAGCCATGTATCACTTTATGTGTCCCCCACTCATGGGATGGTGCCCTCCCAGGGCCAGAGGTGCTCACACCTGCTCAGCAGATGCAGGAAGAAGGCCGGACGCAGGGACTCTGGGCCTGCCCTGGGAGGGAGGAGATAAAGGAGCGCCTGAGCTCCATCTTACCTTTCTGCTGCCCCACATGCAGGCTGAGGCTGGAGCAGATGGGGCACCATGAGCTTCTGCCTGCAAACGTTCACGTGTAGAATCAAATGCAAAAAAAACGCAGAGTGATTCCTCAGGGGAAGTCGGGCCTCAGGGTGGCGCCCTCTGGGGAGAGGGTTGAGCATCTCGAGTCCAGAAGGGTGATGCACACCCTCAGGAAGTGATGCAGAGCCCCAGGTCCTGCTCCAGGAGAGGGTTCCCCTGCGGCGGCTGGAGCTAGAGCCAGCACTTGCAGGGTGCGGGCCCCTGGGAGGACTCCCGCTCTTCGCCAGCCCACCTGGACTGAACAACCAGGGCTTCTGGCCACCCTCTGTCCCCCACCATCAAGATGAGTGCCTGAGACATAGGGGTACACCCAGGAGCCGTGGGGTATGTGGGACAGCGCCCTGCTCCAGCGGCTAGCCCCATGGAGAACCTGGGTACCTGGAACTCCAGAGACTCAAGGTTCCAGATGCTTCCTTTGGCATTCTAGAAACTGCGTGGGCATCTGGCCAGAGTCTGAAGGCCCCATTGCACAAGCCAGGACCAGGCAGGAAGTTATGGGGTTGTGGTTATGGCCAGCCCACTTGGGCTTTGTTCCATCAGGATGGGGAGTGTCTGCCTCAGGGAGCAAACTCACTCAAGACCCTCCCATTTGTCTTTGGGGCTGAGAAGGCAAGGAGCAGCTTCCCCAGGGCATCCTGCAGTCTCACCCCCATGCACGCCGGCCAGATGCTAGCTGGGCCAGCCGTGGTGTTCCTTTCCCTGACCTGGAGCACTTACCACAGCCTGGCTGTCCCCCAGATTGCAGAATGTGGCCTCTCCTGTTCTCAGGTGAGCTCCTGCCCCCTCCTTGAACCCCATCCTGTGGTTAGGCGGCCTTTCCTGCTCTCACGTGAGCGCCTGAACCTCCTCGGCTCTCGTCTTGAGGGGGCCCTGGTTCTTCCACAGGTGGGCACTGGCCTGGCGCCTCAGCACATGAGTAACAGTGACAGGCAAGGGGGGCAGGAGGCCCTGGGGCAGTGGGTGACACAGGGGCCTGGGGACCCCTGGGAGGTGTGGGGCTGACCTTGCAGCTCTGGTCCAGGGCCTGTTTGCCCAGCGCCTCAGTGGCAAGGGCCAGCTGATGTGCCTGCGACCGGTGCCTCTGCCCGGAGCCCCTCAAGGCTTCAGTGAGCCATGTTTCATCATCCAAGGTGCTGGGGCTTGTGTGACACCCTAAGGAAAGGCTGCAGGAAGGTGCTCATGCAGGACAGGAGGGAGCTGCAGGGTGAGCACAGCTTGGAAACGGTGGCCTCCCTGGACTTTTCACTGCCGGGCAGGCTGACTCAGCCTTGCCTGAGGGAGGCGTTCCAGCAGCACCTGCCATAAAAAGGGTTCCTGGTTCCCAGAAGACTGGTCAAGGCACAGTGGGGACACAGCCCAGAAGGTGTCCCGGGGCCACTGGGGGACACAGCAGGGACAGGGGCACAGAAAGAACCTGAAGAGCATGGGGTGGAGGGAACCTGGAGCACCTGCTGTGTGCCCTGTGACTTTGGGAACCAGTGTTCTAACTGGTACAGTGCAAAACAAAACAAAATGTAGGTGGTGATGACTGTTGGGAAAACCAGGGGTGGGCTGGGGTGAGGTCTCATGTGTGCCTTCGGGGGCGGTGCCCAGGCCACCCTGGGGGACACTTGGGGACACCCGATCCTCCTCAGGGAGGAACAGCAGCTCCACAGACCCTGGGAGTGTGTCCAGCAGAGGGTCCAGGGAGCTCAGCAAGGGACAGAGCAGGCTTGGGGTGGCCGGGGGGTCAGGCAGGGCCTCAGAGGTTGGGGGGCCGGCTCAGATCAGAGGTGCAGGGACCTGTGGGGGGCCGGGAGAGGCTCCCTCTGGCTGCTGGTGGGAACCATGGGTGCAGAGGAAACAGCTGGGTCCAGGCTGGGGGGTGACCTGGGTCCCACAGTGAAGGTGGAGAATGGGAGGGAGCTGCTTTGAGTGCACTTTGTGGGTGGAGTTGGATCCCCTGGGGATCCTGGTGGACAAGGAGAAATCAAAGTGGACTCTAGAACATGACTTTAGGTCTGGGCTGCTGGAGATGTTTCGTGAGGTGGGAGGCCTGGGGGGGCAGGTTTTGGGGGGCAACTTGGTTTTGAAATGTGGGGTTTGAGAAGCCCGTCAGACATGAGAGCTGATGGTAAGGGGCAGCTGGGTGGTGCGAGCGGGGCTAGGAAGAGGCACCAGCAAAGGTCCCATGTTGGGACAGGCTGGGATAGGACTGAGCCCCCCAGACCCACAGGCAGTGAGGAGGAGAAAGAATCGTCAAGGGAAAGCAAGGAGAGGTAAGGGGAGAGGAGGGCTGGAGGGGGGACAGGGCAAGCCGCAGAGGGAAAGGGACTCTCTGCCCTGCTGCTGCTGACCCCACAGTTAGGACCAGGCCTGGGCACCACTTTGGACGGAGCCCGGGAGCTGCAGCCCTGGGGGCCCTGCTGGGGGTGGGGCTGGGGGAGGGGGGGGAGGGAGCTGGGGCCCGAGGGGGTGGGGGAGGGGTGCTGGAGGCGTTGCCCGGAGGGGTTTGGGGGGGGTGGAGGGGGAGGAGGAGGCAGGCAGGGAGCTGATGGGGGCTGCCGCTGAGGGATCCAACTCGAGCTGGAGAAGCCAGGGGACAGGCAGCCTCTGGCCTCCCCCACGCCTGCACAGAGACCCCTCCAGCCCACAGGTGCCCACAGGAGGACTGTTCTGGGCCTTGGCAAGTGTTCGGTGAAAAGTCCTTCTCGCTGAACTGACTGGGAGAGCTGGGGGGGCAGGGGCAGAAGATCACAGCCCTGGCGATGCCTGTGTCAGGGGCAGGGGCCCTGGGTGCTGAATGGGGCCATCAGGGGGCCCTGCCTGGCGGCTTGGGGGCTCCCAGCATCCTGGGCTGTGCGGAGGGGACCGGCCCGGGCAGGCGGGGAGCCACATGGAGCAGGAACCCAGGCAGGTCCTTTCCTCTAGCTGGAGCTGAGGCCCGGGCAGCTCGGGTGCTGGTGGGGGAGGGAACTCAGGTCCCGCCTCAAGACATGCGCCTGGGGTGGGGGTGGGGGTGTCCCTCCCCACAGACAGCCCCCACGCCTGGCACGGGAAGCCCCGAGAAGCCCAGTGGAAAACCCCAGGGAGCTGGGGGTGCGGCCACTTCTCCGACCGGACCCCCGCTCCGGGCCCCTGGGCACACAGCCAGCCCTCTCCCCTGCACCCCCCCGCCACTCCCGGCTCCCTTCGAGCTCCTGGTACACCGGGACCCTGGGCCGCCCACAGGTGCTTTTTGGCCTGATCTTTGTCCCTGCTGTGTCCCTGAGAGGAGAAGGTCTGGGCACTGAAGGGCCAACCACCAGACCACAGTCACCAGCCCTCCACCTGACACCACGCTGCCGCATCTCCAGGGCTCTGGGGGCTCTGGGCACGGGCACAGGGCAGGCCCCGGCAGGCAGGCGGTGCCCACTGTCCAGGGCACACGCATGCCCTCAACCTTGGGGCAACCAGCAGGGCCTCTCTGTCTTTGAGCTCTGGGACTGGGGGGAGTAGGTTCAGGTCGCAGGTAGGATAGTGGATGCCAAGGCTGAGGGAGGCAGTGAGGGTGGCCAAGGACCCCAGCACTGCCCCTCCCTCACGCGCTCAGGGCTGCGCATGGGGCCCTGTCCTGCTCTGCCGGGTCGCGTCTCTAGGGCTCGTGGGACTGGGCTGCCCCCTCCTGCCCTTCCACCCCTGGGCCGCTGTGCTCCCCGGGACTGCCCAGTCGCATTGAGGAGAGGGTGTCCAGGTGGGCTCAGCCCTTCCATCTAAGTGGTGTGAAATGGAAAACAGACCTTGAGAACAGAAACAGAAAACAGATGCAAAACTGGGAGAAGTCCAAACGGTGCGGGGGTTTAGCTGTCCCCCACCAGCCCCGGTTCCCTAGTTTTCACAGACGCACCATCAGTCTGTAAGATGCCAATGCTTCAGGCAAACTCTCAGGACTATCTTCCTGCCTCTTCTGTAAATCTAGCACTATTCCGAAATAAAAGTATTTAGAAAGGGATGGAACCACCTGTCGTGGCATGTCCACAGATCCAAGGGCAGGAGCAGACAGGCTTGGAGTCCCACTTTTCCCACCTGGGTGCCACCCGAAGTGCAGGCCCTCCGCCCAGACGGTCCCCCCCGCCCAAGCTGTGGCTGCTTCCTGGGTCCTGGGAGGGTCAGTTCTCCTCTGGGAAGGGAGCAGAGGGTCAACATCACTGTTGCTCCTTGTTGCCCTGTGGTGTCGCTGGGGAGCGCAGGCCCAGAGCAGTCTGGCGCCCCAGGGCCCCGGCCACCCTGCCCCTGTGGGCCCCCAGGGCAGCCCCCCTGACCTCAGTCTCCCAGATTCAGCTGTGGAGTAGCACCGCCCACCCACCAAAGTGAGGCCCGCAGGCTGGCCGTCCAGCCACCCATGGGCCCCAACTGAACCTGGTCCCCAGTCCAGGCCCCTCTCCCGCGGGCCCCCTCCATCAGGTGAGGGGGCGGGGTGGACACAGCCTGGACGGGACTTTTCACATGCTGTTGCTGCCCTTGCCCCGGGCAGCCCGCGTGACTTCACCTCCTCAACAAAGTCTCCCCTGAACAAGCCTGCAGATTTGCCGCCCCCCCAAGCCCCCCACCCGGCTCCTCTGATACCCCCCCTCGCCCTTCTCAAAATCTAACATAAAGTGTAACTTGCTTATGTTCTGGATTGTGTCCGCATCTCAGAATGTGGGCTCCTCAAAGGCAGGCTCTTTCCCCACTTTCTTTTATTCCAGAACCCCAGCACCTAATCAGTGTCTAGGAGGCACTCAACCAGTGTTCCCCTAAAGAATGATGGGTGGGCCCATGCCAGCAGCAGAAGTTGGGAATGTATTTGGGGACATGGGGCTCCCCGGGACATGGGGCTCCCCAGTCCATGGGGTCCAGGTCACCCATTTCCTGAATGACCACCATCTGCAGGGCCTTGGGCTGGACGGTGGCACCCCCCTCCCCAGGCCCTTGCCGAGAGTGAAGGGCCATGTGACTCTCCTGGCCGCTGGGGCTGGATTCAGGGGTTGGACAGAAAGTGGCCAGGCTGACCTCTCACCCTCTCTTTGTTCTGTCCCCAGGGCTTCACCTGCAAGAGCCGAGTGAGCCGTGAGTACATCTCGGGCAGATGGGAACAAGCTGCCTTTCCTGCCCTCCTACACCCTGGTCAGCAGGGTCACCCTGTCCTCCTTGCCACTCCACTGGCCTCCCCCTGCCCGCCTCACAGGACAGAGTGTCCCCCAATGTCCCTGTCCAGCACCTGCTGCACATGGGCAAAGCCCCCAGTTCACGCCCAGCTGTGCACCTGCCGGATAGAAGTCCCATTCCTATTTAATTGGAGGACGCCACCTTTTTTTCCAAAGTGGACACATAAGCAATATATGGAAACCCCCGTTTCCCCTTATCAACTTCTGCATTTTTGTCCAATGCAAAATGGCACCCATTTAACCATAGCTTCGTTGTCTTTCTTTTGTGGCTGCTGCTGCATCCGGGTGACCCCCGGGGTGGGGCTGGGGGTGGGGGCTTCTGCTGCGAATGTCCCTCCGGAGTGCTCCTGGCCTCACAGAGCTCCTCCCTCTCTTTTTCCCTTTGGCCTCCTGAGGCCATTCAGAACTTTTCCACTTTGATGTAATCATATTTACCAGTCTCTCTTTAAGGGGCTTTATGGATTTGGGGGGATTTTTTAAGAAATTCTTCGCTGCCCTGAGGTGGTAGATATGTTTCCAGCGTTGCTGTACTTCTAAAGGTTTTAACATTTCGTTTTTATGTAGCTCTTTAATTCATAGGGTTTATTTCCACTTGTGGTGTGAGGTGGGGACGCAACTGTAATGTTTTGCTGCCTGGAGACCCATCTGCGGCCGCACCGCGAACTGCTCAGCCTGGGTCTGATTTTCCAGCCGCGCGGTGGCTCCCTGACGCCTCTGATCTCAGCTCCTTTCCGGCTTCTCCTTGCTCCTCCTTTTCCTAAACTGTGCGGCGAGCGCGGCGACCGTGTGTGCCTGCGTCCCCGAACCCGCAGGTGCAGACTGAGTGGTGAGAGGGTGGCACTAAGGTGCGGCTCGCTCCCGCGCCCCCAGGTGAAGGGCCTTACCTGCGGTTGCGCCCGGGGGACGGCGGGGGCCCCAGCCGTCGGTGAGCGCCCGCGGGAGAGCTCACCTGACCCCCCCCCACGACCCGCGGCGGGAGCGGGAGAGCGCACCTGACGCCCCCCAACACACACAGACCCGCGGTGGGGGCGGGACAGCGCACCTGACGCCCCCTCCCAGACCCGCGGCGGGAGCGGGAGAGCGCACCTGACCCCCCC